TCGTTTTCCTTGACACACCTCAGAGATGAGCCCACGTATCGTAGGCAGCGTCCTACGTACACTTACGTATCGCGACAAAAGTTTTCAGCACAATGGATACAAAATTACACAATTCAATAAAATATTATTCAATAAATAAATGCTACGCGAAAATTCTGATAATCGCAGTAAGTCGGATATCACCATGCAATTCTTAATTCTTCATTTCGTGAATAGATTTCAAGTTTTTTTTTCTTTTCTTAAATGTTACGTGTCTGTTTTGAAAGAATAGCAGCTTTCTAGACGTAATAAAATATTTGCCAATTATAGCGGCAACATATATGCATATATATGTTGTAAATTGTATACATTTACAATGTGTTTTAGAATATCTACATATATTTTTATAATGATATCATTATTGTGTTCGTTATCGTGTTATAATATTTACTAATTAAATCTAACGTAGACTTAGCTGAGCGTCAATTTTTATACCAATAAATTCTGCGATATCATTCGTCGCAATTTTACGACAAAATATTGTAAGAAAGAACTTTGTCTTTTTATTACATTAGATTATTGTATTAGTCTGCACCTAGAAAAAAGATTTACGTAAGTTAAAAGAGATACGTTGAAATCATGTTTCTACCAAATTTTTATTTACTTCTGCTAAAACATTTGCTGGATTTGAAGAAGTAGATACGAATTCTCTTAGGGATTCCAGTTTCAGTCAAATAAAATTTGGGTTTAAGGTAAAGAAGTCATTTCTTTGAAATTAAATAAAAGTCCGGCGGGGTCAAAATTCAGAGAAAATTTGTTTGATTCGAAGAAACTATTTTTTTTTTTATGTAACAGTTTGTGGAAAACATTTAGCAGCTCGAGTCGAGAATTGTGGGCGACAATTCTTAATGCATGATCATCCGTGGAAATAAGCTCGCCATTCGCATACATTATCCGCGATATGCGCTTTCACAGCGCGAGCCGCATCACTTCCGCCGTGGTGAAACTTACTGATATTAAAAACAGCCTCGGCATCGAGCTGCCGCACATTTAGCTGTGCATTTAACGCAATGAGGAAGACGAGAACCGTTCGTGATAAACGGCGACGACTTGCATGTCGCGATGGCATGCCGTCGTATGTGATATTTATCTTCTATCTGGCAATGTCGTAGAGCGGACAGGTTCAAGTGTAAAACCGTGAAAGCTGAACATGCACAAGATGCCCCAGAAAATTTATATAATGACACCCCCCCCCTCCTTCCCCCCCGCCGATAATATTCCGTACTTTATGCAAAGTTTCTCTCTTATTAAAAGCGAAACTGAGACTGATTACGGCGTTATTTAATGCTGAAAATTGAGAGATTCCAATGAATTCAGTTTGCGCGGCGCAAGTACGTAAATATAACTTCGCGTCTCCCAAATTTCAATTGGGCTCTCTTAATTTATTTAATGCCAAAAGGTTAAAGAAAGAAGGAAGGCGACAGAGCGAAGTCTCCAAATTTTCCCCTCGATCCGTTTCCACAAAATTTTCCTCGAGGTGAAATTGGAATCTGACAAAAATAACGTTGTCTCATTAGGTTTTCGGTATCGAGAATACCGGATTCATATAAGAGAATGTTATTTTGAGGGATATATTTATATACGCGATATGTGTTAAGGCCTGGTTGCACCAACGTCACGTAATTTTAACTGTAGCTTAATTCACTCTTTGTCTCTTTCTGTTTCCTTGAAAAAGAGACAAAGAGTGAATTAAGCTAAAGTTAAAGTTAAGCGACGTTGGTGCAACCAGGCCCAAGTGTCACAAATCGTCCCAAATTTCAAATTACGCTCTCTTAATTTATTTAATGCCAAAAGGTAAAAGAAAAGAAGGAAGGCGACAGAGCGAAGTCTCCAAATTTCCCCTCGATCCGTTTCCACAAAACTTTCCTCGAGGTGAAATTAGAATCTGACAAAACTAACGTTGTCTTATTAGGTTTTCGGTATCGAGAATACCGGATTCATATAAGAGAATGTTATTTTGAGGGATATATTTATATGCGATTTGTGTTAAGTATGACAGATCGTTTTCGCGTAATGCGCGTGGCCGAGATCGCCGTCCCGGCAATTATTCTCTCGCCGGCTGTACGATTTAATTGTTTGTGCGCGATCTCTCCGCGGAGAGAGAGATGTGCCTTCTCGTCGCGTTCTTTCAGATTATAAGGTAAAAAAACAGCGTGAAGTTGTCGCGCCAATGTCACAGAGTGAAAACGAATTGTCTCACGAGTCGCGTTTAAATACGGGTGTTATTAAACGTTTATCAAAAGCGGTTAAATATTAATTGGCGGGATCCTTCGGGAAAATAATCACTTTGCATTTTCCCACCGCGATAGAGATATCGATCGGCGAGCTCTTCTGATCTTCGCAGCGAGCCTCGCGATGATTAGAGAATTATTCAGATCGTGGGAAGAAACGGTGAAAGTTTTTTTTTTACACACGACGTTAAAAGGAGGGCTCCTCTTTTACGCGGATGCAGGAAAAAACCGACGTGCACGCTTATTGATTTATTTGCGTTTATTTTCCGGAACGCGAAACGTTACCTCGTCATTGTGTGTTTTACTTGGGCGCGCGACGGACGCGACGCCCCTTTGGCACAATTTCCTCGGGCGTGAAAAGGTGCCGAAGAGACGGAATCTCGGAAGCGTTTGTCGCGAACGCGGCGGAAGCGCGCGCTCTTCCGTTTTACGAGCGATCTCGTTGCTCAACTATGCTTGAAACGGCGACCCGCGTCGCTGTCAGTATATATATTTTCTACACGGGAAGTGGAGAATCGGCCGCGAAAAGTGGCTCACTTTCGATGCCGAAGTCGATGAGCGCGATTCGCGTATCTTCGTTTCAAGTCCGAGACGAGGCTCGTTCTGCAGTTTCCGATCGTCCTTGAAATATTCGAGTTTCGTCCAAAACCAGACGACGCGAGAAACGCCAACGAGCACCGCCTAACAAAGACGTTCTTATCCTCGGAGTCTCGTTCGGCAGCAAGTTAATGTTCTGCCGAAGACAATATATGGGCAAATGGTCCGAGAAAGAACGAACGCTATTATTGAGAATTTACACGCGGAGACGTAGCGTGGATGTAGTTTTAAATGACGTAGACAAAAACGAGATTTAGACATCCGTTTGTACATAAATATATTTTAGACTAACAATGAATTTCAAAGTTTATTTTATCTCTACGGAAAAAGAAAGAGAAATAGCGAGACAGAGAGAATGTCATAAAGAATACATTCCAATAGCGGACTTCACACTAAAATAGTTTCACAAAAGCTGGTTTCTCGTTTTTCCAAACCTGGAAGATAGGTACAAGTCGCACCGCACAGCGTATGCGTTTCGCTTAATTAACCGAACAAATTCGTATGAACGCAATAGCGGATCTTCGGGGAATGCAACGCCGAATTAGGTAATTTCTTTTCCTTTTGTCACAAGTCTTTTGTTCTCGCGTGCTCGCGTGGCGATCAGAGGATTCATTCGGAGGAGTCGTTAATCGATTTGGGACCGCGCGAGACGCGCCGACTGGTTATCAACGCGACCCGAGGCTTTCCTGCATTCCTGAGGTGAAAATGGAGAAGCTGATTCGTCCACGGCCCGAAATCCGGCTCCTATCCGGCATTCGTCTTTACTACACTCGCCCCTCTTAATTGCCAATTACCGATACGCTTCTCTTATCGATGCGCATCTTTGACATTTTGAACGGACTTTCGCCGCAAAATGATATATCGATGCAAAATAATATTTCATCATTTACTTCGAATTGACGTTTTCGGTGCCGCTGCGGATAAACGCGTCACCTGTAATAAAGTAGTTCGAACATCATTAATTAAATAGCAGAGCCTAAGTGACAGGAATAATCGGAATAATAACGATGATTATGCTCTTGACAGTTCCGGGAGTGTGACGGAAAAAAAAGAGACATTCCAAATATGTACTGTCATGTGGATACCGTTCAAGGAACTGTAATACGTTCTACATGTTATATAATATCGCGCGATTAAAAGCTGCAATGCAATTTGATGCTGCGTTCTCCGGTAAATCTTGTATTACATTTGCGCCATGGATAACGAAACAAACGGATTCTCTCGACAGCTAAATATAGGCCGAAGTCATAATTCCGGTGTTCTATTTCTAACGTGTTATTTGCCCAGATTCTTTGACCAATTCGGTGTCATTTCTTTCCCCAGTGAAAATGCCGGGAGAGATCGTCGTTTATTGCGACTTTCTAGTTATTAGCATTATTTATCTTTACATCTAAGTCGCGAATTAACGTTTCTGTTAAATTACAGTTCGCTTAAAATTGAGTGAAGGGTATGATTGTTTCGTTCTCTCCTCCGAAGTTTATTTCACCAGGGAACTCTTGCTTGCCTAATCGATTTCTTCTGCTTCGAGTCATTTCCATCTTTCGCCGTGCATTAGCTGCTTGATGTAAAAGTAGACGTCTCATTTTCGTTTAAGGCAAAACTCGGCTGTACAACCCGCGAACCATAGAATTTAAAAAGGTAGTGAAAAGAGCAAGTACACCCGATATAACGCAAGTAGCGTAAAATATATAATATAAAACATAAATATCGAGCGGCAATGAATATCAAGCACACGTTGCTACGTTGCCATCAAATTATCCGTTTAATCTCGCCGGCAGTTGTTAATTAAAAATCGCGACGTGTCCCGTTCCTGCTTGGCCACTTGTAATTATTGTCAACGGTAATGTACGGCGTGCGTATGTGAGATAATTGGCCAGCCCCTATTCGTCGTCCGAAAGTCCGCTGCATCCGTAAATTCTCGGGCCGCGCTGCCATAGAATAACGCCGACCTACTTTTATACCCTGCGACTACTTTCACTTGCGAGGACGAGGTCGGCACGGATGCACGGGCGGAACGAATTTCCGAATAACGCACCTCCAACTTGCCCCGACACTTCGTTCCTCAAGTCCAATTTTCGTCTTACATTCGTTATCTTTGTGAAGCTTATTTCGCGTGACATTCGTTTGCACGTGAAAATAAGACTTGCCAATTGTCGCGAGACACAAGTGCGCGGTAAAATGGCCGCTTTTTATATACCGACGGTGTATTGCGTTTTTATTGAGAATTGTCGTTAAGCTACATGATGTTTTACATATAATTAAAGCTACCATCGTGAAATATGACGAAGATATTCTTCCTTTCGAACGCCGTTTCCACAATTCGAAATGGACAATGTAATAATATAATATCGTCTACATAATATAATGCTGTAATTAATGCTGCTATATTATGAATAGAATTATTACATATATGTCAAATGATAATATTATATGTGATTTGTGTAGTATAATCGTTTCGCGATTTTTATACTCTCGCTGTTTCACGCGTAAAGCCGTGAAATTTGCATAATGTGCGAACATTAACGCCATAAATCAACGGACACGCAGGAGAGATCGCGTGCATACTGATCCGCTGGCTTCCTAGGCAGTCGTTAACAGCTGATCGTCGTACAGTCTTTTTTCCTGACGGCGCTGAACACTTCGCGAAGACCATTTCTTTTTGCGACATCGTCCGGGGTTCTGTTAGTACAAAAAACAATGCGTGTTCTTGTTGAAATTGTCACGGTCGTGTCGCGGTAACACAATAGAGCCGTATGGGAAAATGTGCCTGAAGAAGCCGATTACCTGGTGGCCAAGTTCCATAGGATATTTTGGAGGATGTTGGATTGCGGTTCGCCGCCGGCCAAGATCAATTCGCAGACCGATTGATTCTCGCAACCGACCGATGGATCGTCGAGTACACGTGTTTGCTTATGCTCGACCGGCAGATCAGCGAGCCGCAGCTTCGAGAGGACGATGTTCGGCTGGCTAATGGAATTTCGTCCTTGATTAACAAATATAGGCGGATGTTTGAATTAGACGAGGAGAATAGAACCTTACGTTGTCGAGTTGTCGATCCGCACGACGTTGGGCTTCAACGATGCTAGTAGCAAGCCCAGCGGCAGAATAGTACCAATTAGATGAATGATTTTCTTCCAAGGGAACGGCCTGTGAACAACGTGTTCTGGTTGTATATTTTGAAAAAAAAGACAATAAATCTTGAGTAAATATTTATGAAAAATGAAACGTTTCGTTAGGTCTAAATATAGAACGCATTTTAAATTTGCTGTTCGAACAATTCGCGATAGTTATATGAGTTGGACGATGAAAGATAATGAAAAATAATATAATTCTTCCAAAATATATAATATTACTTTTATATAAGATTATTACTTCTGTATACATATTGCGTGTGTATTATTTATATATGTAGTACAACGTGCTACACGTGTTTCGAGGAAATATAAATTAAGTAATCATGATCGTAATACGAATTCAGTTGAAGAAAGTTTTTATTCATTGCCTTGCGTGGATTTAATGGATATTGAATAACATTTCTTGCATTCTCTCTCTCTCTCTCGCGCGCTCTCAACATGCACGTACGCATCTCAAAACAAATGTGCGATTAAAGAATGATAATATCTTAATTAAACTTGAAGCACAATATTTATATGGCTGGCTGCGTTACGCAATGCAATTAACTCACGAATTAAAGGAGGAGTATCTCGAGGAATATGAAAAAGTTGATATCGTGCAGAGATAAGATAAATAATTGACGTTTAATATTACCTCTCTAAGGGCCAGTTTCACAAACGTCGGTTAGCTGCTAACCGAAGGTTAATTGATTCTCTCTGTCTCTTCTTAGATAACAAAATAGAAAAAGATAGGAAGTTGACTGAACTCTGGTTAACAGTTAACCGACGTTTGTGAAACTGGCCCTTACATTGTTGCCCCGACACCGTTGCTTTTTTTTTAAAAAAAGCAAATAATCAGTAATGCATTTAAAAGCTCACCTTCTCACGCGCGGATGAGCTATAGTCTGATGTGGGTCCTCCATGTATTGCACCTCGTGATATTCGCCAGCCGGCTGATAAAACGAATAGGGAAATTTCCGCTTTCTCGTGTACGTTGACTCGTGTTGCTGAAGTACCATAACACCGTTACCCTCGGGCCTCTTCATCATCTCGATCGCGGTTTCCTGCGGCGACGTCGGCTGATAAGCATTCTGATTCTGCTCGGCGTAATAATTGACGACATACGGTGACCTCGAGGCGTCATAGTAAATGCCAGTCGACCGATGATCGGTCGTCGTCTTCCCGAATATTTCCTGCATCTCCGGCTTCTCGACGTTTTGGAAGAACGTCTGGTCGACGAACGTGTGACCAACGGGACCTTCCTCAAACTGCGCTCTCGGGCTCTCCGTAACGGTCAGCCGATCATCGAAGGAATGACGGATGTTCGACGTTTGTACCGCGCCGTCGTCCTGGAACTTAATTCTGCTCGATCGCGTCGCCTCGTCCAGCAACCCAGAGCCTTGCGACGCGTCCTGAAGGACATTGTGAAACCGCTCGTGCTGCGAATCTAGGTGAACATTGTTCTCGAATCTCACGTGATGCACATTGTTGAAGGGGCTCGTTCGGACAGCCGGCCGCTCGATTTCGCCCAAGTGCTTGCTAGGCTTGAAGACGTTGGAATTGTTTCGGGAGCGGCCTTCGACGACGGTCGGAGACGTTAATTCTCGGTCGCTGTCAGGTCTTAACAACGAAGCAGGCGTCGTTGTTTCGCGAACGGACTGATCCGATGTCGAGGAAGTCTCCTCGAAGGTGACTTTCGTTTCGCGTATCTCTTCAGACGCTTTGAGGGCCTTCGAGAGTGTTAGGCCGACGATCAAAAGACGAGCCAGGAGGAAGCGACACATGGAGTTCTTATGCAACCACATGTTTCTCGTTCGATTAAGTCGGCAATCAGTGCGAATGATGTTCGTACGTCTGCGATGACGAGCGTGTGCAGGGAACAGTTATTTCCATTGCGAGATGTCCGAGTACTAAGGCATTTGGTGGAACGTCCTGCGACTTTAACTCGCGAAAAAGGCAAGAGTAAGCGACGGGCGTATTCTAAAAAGCGTGAACGTGAGAACAATTCTTAATTGCCGCCGCGCTCGTCGTCCGCACTCCAATTGTTGTTGACAAGGTGAGCGTTGCGACATTTATTTCAAGCAGCCGCAGCCGCGAAACCTGGTGCATCGTGGCGTAAATGAATGACACGCCGCAACGAGACAAGATCGTGTGTTTCAAAGCAATTTCGTATAAAACGGAAATATTAGCGATTAATTAGGGAGAAAGTAATCAATTTACCATTCTTTCTCCTTTCTTCTCATCTTCGAGTCCGTTTCTTTCTTCCTCTCGCTCTTGCCATTGTAGTTTTCTAAAATGATACATTTAATACAATTGCAAGGTAAAACGTATAAAAGTTAATTTGTCAAGTTTCGATCTAATGCTGCGGGGGAAAATATAACTCGCCAATAAGTCTGAATTATACATCGACGAAATTGGGGACGTTATCGTTTGTTTGTTTTTTGTTTTGCATTTCTATATAATATTTCATATGATTTCGTGAAAGAAAACTCCGGAGAAATTCAGCGGCGCACAGTAAAATAGAAACGAGCGAAACATACCAGACTGCTAAATTGCGTAAGTAAGATACGAGACGTTACTTGCTCCAGCAGTGTTCGCGGAACACGATTATAATGAGCGGAAGGGGTGAAAAGACTTTCTAAGCCAAGTTTTATCGCCGAGCGGTGAGAGTCTGACCCTGTTTCGTGCCGGGGTCACTCCGATATGTTCTATATGCTCCGCGATGATCTTAGAGTTTTCATATTCTACAAAAAAAAAGTAGTAACTCTTTACGCAAGCTGTTGCACATTTCATTCAAACAGCTCCGTCGTGTACAATCAACTTCACGCTTGTGCGACGAATTTGTATACTGGTATTAAATTATCGACAATTCGGCGAAAGGTAGAAGCGAATAATATAAAAATCGAAGGAGGGAATTTATGAAATGTCAAATTAAGATGATAATTTCGAATAATACAGCTTCACTTTTTATTTACAATCTTTCTTAAACATTTTTATGTACACAAAAATACACTGCGTACACCTTAAATGTTTTTTTGTGTACTGGATGTACAGTTTTTACCTTTGTAAGGTTTTTTTACGATATACATTTATGTGTAACATAATTATGTGTAACATATAATGTATAAAAATGACTTGATTTTAAATTGTGCATTCAAGGAATTATCGGACGATCATCTAATACAAATTATTTGATACCAATACCACACAAGTACTTTCCTTGAAACTTTCTACCGTTGCGTAGATCTCCTACATCTGGACTAGATCTCGCGGTGACCTTTTCACCCCTTCCACTTCGTCTCATATCATTCTCGTTAACGCGACTCTCCCTCCGATACGACCGACACTGAAAGTAGACGTCTATTGCATTCGCGTTTATTCCATTCTACCCTTTCTTCAGCATCGTCATAATCGTTTTCGCGGTTAGGTGTCTAGACTGACCCAATTCCGGTTTCGAGTAGGCCAGTTGACCGCGTCGTAACCGGAATTGGAAGTAAAAAGAAAAAAAGAAAATCCGTCACGCCTCTGCAATCCCGAAAACGTGCCATTTCGTTCTTATTCACGGCGAAAGAAAGAAGAGTCCGTTTTACGTAATTATCCTGATTCTACAACGGGAAAGAGCGTTCCATTATTGTCAACCAATTGAACAAACTGGTATGCTGATAACTTTCGAATATTTTAAAAGAAATGTCATTGCAACTCAAATTTAAGGCTCCAGGTTTACGTAAAGACTTTCCATGCAAATTCTTGGCCTGCCGATAATAAACTTCAAAAGGCGAAGAATATACGATGACGCAACGTGGACACGTCTGTTGATTTTGTTTGGGATTACACGTAATGTGTGTGTGTGTGTGTGTGTGTGTGTGTTGCATGTGCAGATACAGCGGAAATCGGTGGAAGAGCATAGCTGCTCAGCAGACGAGAAAAGAAATCGTCCGTTTCTGGGTCGGCGCCGGGCAAAAAATCCTAGATCGGTGAAAATCTGGCGGAAGAATCGGAAGCTGCTCGTAAAACGGAAACTGTTAAGACGCGTTTCACTCGCGCGACGAGCAGGAATCACCATTGGCGACATGAGAGGCGAAGGCATGGGCAAAGGAAAAAAAAAAAAAAGGGAACGACGGAGGTTTCTGGGCCGCGAAAGCGCAAAAATCGATAAACGGCCGATTCTACGATTTGTTCGCCGATCCGATTCCGTCTACTATATGTCGAAGAAGGCCAAATCGGCGATTTGCCGAGCATGAAAATCGACGCCGGCCTTCTTTGTCCTTTACGCCGGCACGATGTCGGCGTGTCCTTAATTGTACGGCCATTAAGCCAGAAACATCATTTCCTGCATTATCGCGGTATGCACGCGTTTAACATTTGCAGATGTATAATATAAAATGTAACAGTAAATATAATTATATTAATATAATATAGTATATATACCTATATAATATTATATTATATAAAGTTAGTAAATGTTATATATGAAATAAATAGTTTTTCTATTAATATAATAATATTTGCTTGTACCAGAAGAGATTATTGTGTTAAAATTATTTAAGAATAATAGCACCAAATTTTTAAATCGTAGAAAATTTTTATGCTCCACTGCAGAGAGAGAGAGAGAGAGAGAGAGAGAGAGAGAGAGAGAGAGAGAGTGCGCTAAAACTTTTAATGAATATAAATTGTATGTATCTCGATTTTTAGGCAGTACCCACATCCGTGACAAAGTAATCTAAATAATTATTGAAGTAAATATCGTTATAAATGATGTAAATGTGCCGGATATTGTTGCTTATATTTTATTCATGCGTTTCAATAAGTGGAGAAGAGATTGCAAGCTGGAAGAAGTGTTGCGCATGGTTTCTTGAATTCAGGATTTCTTTATAAGCTATTCCACGTTTTACGCTTCTAACGTAGAAGTCGGCGAACGAAATAAGAAATCGGTCTCGAAAGGATTGCGATTCCGGATCGATTCCTATGGTCGATCTCTCTCTCTCTCTCTCTCTCTCTCTCTCTCTCTCTCTCTCTCTCTCTCTCTCTCTCTCTCTGAGGCAGCCGAAACTCCTCCGGTGCCGCGCCTAGAGGAGGCCGCGGCTAGAAGAGAGAGCAACTCCCCGTCGTCCCACGTCGGAACGTGAGCTCTGCCGTGTAAACGGTGAAAGTAGCGATTTGACAAAAGGTAAAACTCACGTGAAAATGACACTGTCGCCGGTCGGGGCGACACAGAAACGGCCGACGACGAATCGCCCGTCGTGTCGTCACCCTCATTGTCGCGAGCGTCGCAATTAGCGCGTGACACGAACGCGGTCTGGGCATCCGTTTTTCATCGCCGTTGTCTTCCATTGAGGGAGGAGGACAATGCGAGTACAAATAACGACGAGTGCGGGGAAACGATCGGAGATCGGCTTCGCGCCACTTCAGTTTTCTCGGTCAATCGCAGCAACGTCTTCGTCCACGAAGCCTAGCGACCGCTCGCCTTGCTATCGCCCGAACAATCCCATCAAGAGTGGCAATTAAAATCGCCGCGAGATCGAAGACAGGTTGCGTACGCTCGTCCCGTTGCTCCTCGTCCGGATGCACTAGACGCGCGTCTCGAATTACTGTCTGGATTTTTGCAACGTTGTAAGTGTGTCTGATTAGAGATGCTGATAAGTGAGAAAGCGTATTGTAAATAACTCGTCGAAGTGATTGTTTTACAAGCGGATCGATCTAAGATTCGTTAGCGGAAATGTTAGTAATCCCGACGAAGGAAAATACACGGGAACGTTTAAAAGTGTTATTTACAACCGACAAATCAATCAAATTCATCATTTTTATGGCTCAGTATACGTACGTGTTCCATACTTTCGATGTACGTTTCAAAGTCTAAAAATGAATAAACATATAAAATTATGATTGATTGTAACTATATATCTTCGCGCGATAATTTTAACATTTTTCTATCCTAAGACCATAGGCCAATATGTTAATATCCAGACGTATCACGATATTTGCATGTAAACAGAATTAGAAAGATGTTTCAGCCTCATTTGCGAGAACTTTCCATCTCCATCGTTTTACTCTAGTCATCTAGCGCTCGTTATTCCTACAGAAATTCACGCGAAAGCGAGGCATTCTGAAATAAATATATCTCCGTGCGGGAATATAAAATGCTTTGTATCTCAACTATTCAGGAGGCTGTTAGAAAAGCGAATGCCTTGGAAACCGCTGTATCTCGTTGTCCCGCATAGCATACACGCAGAGAATTTTCTTTTACAATTTATCTGGAAAATTATGTGACCGCGGGACAACTCGGCATTTCGAGGAATTTCACGAGAGTTTTTTTAAATTTTACCATACGTTTCGCTACACTGATAAAAAAAAATTGCTTAATCCAAAAAATATTACTTTACTCAAGAAAATTATGCATTAGGTGGCTCCTAGTAGCTTATTAACTTAAATTTAAAAAATAATAAACAAATTAAAATATGCATTGCTTTAATGTAAACATTTATTCAATATCAAAGAATGGATAATTATTAATTTAAAAAATGTTCTTTTAATTCTATAAAATGTTTACTAAGATGTAATTTTCACCGCGAAGAAAATTGGATTTCTTATTTAACATATAAAAACAATTATTTCATTTAATAAATAGTATTCCATATCTCACGAAATCTTTATTTGAATGTAGAAAATGTAATGATTTAAATTAATTTACTTAATATAATACATAGATTTACTTGAAATTTGATATTTTTATTTAGATAGAATAAATAATTGCTTCAGTAACAAAAATAATTCTAAGTAAATCTATTTACTTAGTTTAACAAAATTTGTTTGTCAGTGTAGTAATTATATCATTTTGCTAATAGAATGCGTGGTAAAACTTGATAAACTCTCGTAAAATGCATCAAAACGCCACGTTGTCCCACGATCGCATGACTTTCGGGATAAATTTTAAGAGAAAATTCCCGCCGTGTACAGCAGTGTCTCGCGCAAAAATACAGACATCGCTCACTCGTCGGAGGCCAGTGATGGGCTCGATCATCGATCGTGGCCGGCATGACCGACCTCGCCTCCCATTGTTGTTCATTGTGTTCCAAGAACGATCGTTATCCAGAGGGAAGGAGAAAAACCCCCGTGGGGAACCGCATAGGATGGCGCGGCTGGAGCGAGAGGAAGAAACCGCGAGATGGGAAGAGAGAAAGGGACGCGCGCGGAAATCGCGGGCGAGAAGGAGAGACAATGTGGCGCCCGTTCTCCAGGTTGACCAAGCCAAGGAGGTAAGAACGGAGTAACACAACGGCCCAACGGGGAACGGAGGAAGATGCAAAATGGACCAAGCACCGACGAAGTGGGGATCTGGATTAAAAGCAAACGAGGGCAACGTCTCAGCAACAGAGCCATCTCGGACCTTGAGGAGTCGAGGTCGCCGTCGTACTCCACTTCCGCATTCGTAACGTCGCTCTGTCGTCGTCGTCGTTGTTGTTATTGTTGCTGTTACTGTTTGTTGTTGCTACTGTTATTGTTACTACTATCACTCCGCTATTACACGCCGGCGCACGTTGGGCACAGTTCCTGCTAACGGATCTTCGAGCGGCGACAAAGCGGGCTTCGTTGTTCATGTAATTGAAGGCGACTCGGACAACGAATATCGACACGGTCAGTGTGCGACGCGTTGTGTACGCGAATTTATTCTCCCCCGGCGCTTCTCCCGCGTCGCAATCGCGCAGTAGAATTCCGTGGAATTAAATAGACGACGTGCGAAGTCCCGGGATGGTCGTCCGAGCCCGGCCCGATTGACAGTGATCTCGAATAGTAATTCCCTGTTTCTCTAAAACTCTAGCGCTAATACGATTTGCATTGTGATTCCGTCGGTTACTTATCAATTTTTAGCCGTAGTTTCCTATCGTTATATTTACCACCTGTTTCAAGGTGATTTTCTGACAATTATTTGTACGCGATTATTCACCGCTCTCTTTTTATTCGCGTTGAAGACAGAGCTGCGTTTTTGAAAAAAAATGTATTGTAACGACATAAAAGCGAGAATTCTCTTAAAATCCCGAGAGATGTATGAATTAAGTTTCTTCGTGTTTCAGATGACGACAAGAGGAGCGGTATGCCTGCTCCTGACGATCCTGACGTTAGGAGGCACGCAGGGTAGCACGAGGTATTTCGTGAAAATGCGAACGAACGCGTCCGAGATGTTTAGAACGAAAGCGGACAACTTGAGGATTCTTCAGGATCCGATAGCGATCACGCCGAATCCTCTGTACGACAACGCGGGAAACGAGCACGACGACGGGCGGATGACCAAGGAGATATCGAGCGATCAGTACAATCGAAGAAACTCCTTTGTCGAGTCGTCGACCTTCAATCCGGACGTGCTCAACAAGTTCCTCGAGGAATACGCGAGCAAAGTTAAAAGCACCACCGAGAGGAATTTCAAGTATCCCTTCAGAATCGTGAAACCGCCCGCGGAGCCTCTTGTTCTCGAGATCGACAGCGAGACCACCGAGACCACGACACTCCACGAACAGGACGAGAAATTTGATCAGATCTCAAATGCCACTTCACCGGAGGATGCGGTAAGAAACATACGTTTTAGAACGAAACAATAGCAGAATAGCTTATCCATTGGACGGTCGAATAAAAGAGCAGAGAAGGAAAAAGAAAGATATTTTAATCATTTTAAATTCCATGCTGTGTAGAATTTCTCGTTAGATAAAGAATGTGTTGGTTAATGTTTCATTATCTTTGCCGAGCTTAGCTGAGCGAGGCGCTAAACGACACCTTGAAGAGAAATAAATACTACGGCACGAACACTTACGAGGACAGAAACGGCTGGGTGACGTTGGAAGCAATTCCGTGGTCTAAGAGCAAAATTTCCAAGTGGCAGGCCAATCCCAGCACGCAACGACCTTGGCCGGAGATAAAGCCATGGGATAAACCGAGCATGAAACCATGGGCCAGCGATTTTACCATCAGACCCACTTATGAAAACAACAAACCGTGGCAAGTACAACCGTTAATTTTCCTTTCATTACACGGCCTTATATACAATTTTCGAAAATGAGTTTTGTGGCTATTGTAACGAGCGATATTTATCGTTGGCTTCGAATTGAAACTTTCTTTCTTGCGAGTCGTCTACAAAGTCCAGCGGTACACCTCATTTTACGGCGCTCTCTATATTAAGAAACGTATCAAGAAAGTGGAAATTTTACTTTTCACTCTTTTATCCCCTTATTTACACACTAAAGCTAATTTGTGCAAAAAAATGAAGATAAATGTTTCATTCTTTAACAGCTTCTAAAGATCTTAGGACTTTTTTTTATTATTAAAAGTCTTCAGGGTAAAAACCACGTATTAATATCCAATTGGATATCCACTTCTTTTTTACTTTATGTTGTACCAAAAACGTGCTCCCCCCGCGAAATATCGGCTTTAAGCAAATGCAAGAGTAAACGTTCGTATCTCAGGTACGACAAACCGAAACCCAATTGGCCCGACAACAACGAGAAGCCGTGGCAGAAACCAATTTCGCGTCCCCCTTACCGCCCTGAGGACGCGTCTAATCAGGCGCAGAAGTGGCCGCCGGAGAGACCGTCCTGGAACAAGTACGACCCTCACCGTCCCCCCAGCAGCGATATCATCACGGACGACAGGCCGGCGAATTTCCCCAGCACTTGGTCCAGACCGCAGACCTCCTCGTATCAGTTTATCGATAGATATTCGGAGAAGGACCAGTCGGGTGACGGGAGTAATTGGCACGATTACCCGTCCAGATACGATCAAGATCGACCCCGGCCCACCATGATCACCGAGAGGCCGAATTTCTCGCATTATCAATACGTGGACAATCATCCACCGAGTCACCCGGCGAGCGGTGACGGCCAATGGGTCCTCTTGTCGACGAACCGGGGATATTCCAAGTCGCGGCAGAGATCAATCAAGGTCGACGCGATCAATTCAGCAGAGCCGTTTAAGAGGATCAATACTACAAATCGCGAGAACGGGGATAGGCAAGAAGACGAAGACCCTCCGATAGCGGTGATGACATCGAAACGCCAGGTTAGGCTAAATGATCAAAGAGAGATCAGGGATTCGTTTTAAATTATGAGCTAAATGTATGTCCTTTCGCTGCCTCGCGTCAAGCAGTTTTTAGAGTCTGCCTTTCTTTCAGAATAATTAAAAGGGACGCGTGATTTAATTTCGCGAAGATAGTTGTCGTTGCTGTTAGTGACGTGGAGATTTGCCAAAGAGGGTATCGCTGACAGCCGCTTTATGAAAGATCGTTTACCTAGGTCAGGTTGACGGTGTTGCCATCGATCAACGGCACAAACACGACGACGTCCCACGGAGGCCTTCTGGAAGTCGAAAAGACGTTCAAGAGCGTCGAGCAGAGCCGCAAGGAGTACGAGATGGAGAAGCTGACGGCCGTACCGCAAATCCTGAAGAAAAGACCGATCAGGCACACAACCCTGAGCACGCAACCGTCGAGTTCGGCCGTTCTAGCGGCCGTCGGGGCAGGTAAGGCTGCAACAGATTAGCTCAAATTATATCTCAAGATATGTTATATCGAAGATACGAATTAAATTAACATTACAAATTAATAATAATCATTATTTATGATCTCGTTTCGCTTTATATATCATCTTTGTACAGTTTTTAATTATCTAGCTTTTTCATTTGTAATATTAATTTAATTTGTATCTTCGATAAACTTGTAATTCCGATTATCGGTTCCCCCCCCCCTAGAATTCGCGCTTGAAAAGGACCTAAACCCTTGGTCGAAACGTCGTACTGTATATCTTTTTATTTTACTTTTATTAAACACGCGCCAAGTAAGGTCGATTAAAAGTATTCGTTGTTTTTATTAAAGTTCTAATCGCGTCGTGTCGCAAAAACGAATTTAGCACTATTTAAATTATTCCCACAATAAATTCACGTCAACGGAGCGCAACTTTGCGTGATAAAAATGTGCGTAATACGTGAATTCAAACCGCGGAGTATTGATATTGTTTAAATTTATTTTCTTAATTGTCGTACCATTTGTTGAACGACAGGTATGCTTCCGGCGACAATGGCGATGATGATACCGATGATGCTGGGTCGTCGAAGGAGAGACCTGAGACTGATGGAACCCACCCTGAACAACGATCTCGAAGTGGATCTGCATAAGCTCACGAGGGAGTATAACGTTCAACTAAGGAGACCGATAGGACCGTAGAAAATAAGGTAGCAGAATTCGTTCGGGGAAAAAGAAAAACTCATTAGGCTGGCGAACGACAGGAAACGCGGTGCACGACACAGTGCGAATTATGTTGAGACACAGGATAAAACATTGAGAGCCCAGAAACGGAAATGGTTTACCCGGAAATTGCTTTCGCGCCGACTACTCGTTTGTTCCGTATCATTGAATTGAACGACCAAACGGTACATTATATACGGCATGGCAGTATTATTGGTACATTTATATACAATGTTCCGCGTATTGGCAGTATTATTGGAACACTCATATCTTCTCGTATTTTTACAGTGTCTCTCAAGTCCATTGAAAAATCATTTTTAAATTAGACAGAGTCTACATCTCAATCGCACGTGGGTCCGAAGTCAAGTGATGTACTTCGCGAACTACTTTCCACGATATTGCATTGTATTAATCAGTTAGGCTATAGACAGCGCATCAATATCGAATGTGTCTCTGAATAATCAATGTAGCCCTATTCGTACAGGCGAGTGTATAAGCACGATCGATTTAGAATCACCTGTTGCTGTTCTGGTGGTCGCTGAGTAAAGCGCAAAGTTAAGGGTAAAAAGTTCGTCATAATTACGTGAAACAAAAACCACTTTCCCAGCGCTACTTCGCTATTTTCCTCGTCGCTTTGAATTACCGCATTTAAATTGTTGACACGGCGCTTGGATTGTATAAAAGGAAACGTAATACGACTTTTATCGCCATCCGCATGAATATTTATTATCTGTATTTTACGCTTGACCAAACGGTCGGCGGCGAATGTAAATTTATTCCGCGACGCAACAAGTGCTTTGTCTACAACAAATTATGCCATATTCGGGTTCGTTTACGACCCGACGGTATTAATTTCAGACGTTCGGTTTTTCTCCCAGATATGACTTGAAATAATCGCGGCAGCCTTCAAAGATCAACGCTTTGGCGTGAGAGAAACACAAGCGTTCACACATTCTCCAATATTTATTTACATAGCGCATACCAGGGTATTACATAGAGTGTTTTGCATACTTATCTATTTATTTATTTATTTATTCGTTCAACTCGTTTTATTTATTTAGTTATATAGCGTACTTTACAGTATAAGCTGCCCAGTAATCGACTCCACCATATGTCTTCGCTCGCCCTCCAGCGAGAGGGTAAGAGAGCAGCGCGCATATACCAAACAATTGTAGAGAGATTAAAAAGCGACTTTCAATAAAGATCCAATCGATCCTGTGTGTGGAAGAGAGAGAGAGAGAAAGAGAGAGAGAAGGAGAGAGAAAGAGAGAGAGAGAAAAAGAGAGAGAGAGAGCGAGAAAAATCTCTCGAAACCCCTCACCAATCCCGCGGCTATCTCGATCGTCTCGATTTCGACAAAGTATCCCTGGAATGCATCTTGTCATGCCGTATATCGCGTGTCGAGACGCATTCCGTGCATGTCATACCAGGACCCAAAGATTAAAGTTAAGACATTTTGTGTTAAGACATTTTGTGTTCGAATGAAGTTTTTTTTTTTTAACAATGTCGCAATGGAACACTTGAGGCGATCGTCGCCGATCCCTCGAGCACTGAGACAGATTCTGAAAGAAGACACGGGATTCCCCATCCGTGATGTTTACGGCGATACCTTGAAGAGGAAGACGCCGCGCGTTCGGCGATCGTAACAGTAGTCCGTGTTCCCCTTCGTCGTTTTAGCTTTCTAAGTGAAAGGACGATCGCGTATCGTATCGCATAGGATCGTTTACGGATGGACAAAAATGACTGCCCGTGAAATCGCGTCTCAAATCGACTGCGAAGAAGTCGAGGGGGGGAAGTCGCTTCTTCGCGTTCACTGACTACCGTTACTATAGGATTACAGCCGTCCGTCGCCGTTATCCACCGCGTGTCCACCGTATCGCGCCGTGAAATTGGAAAGAAACGCGTACCGTCACACGACGCGAAAACTTCCATCGCCGCTCCACCGCGATTTTACCCTTCGTTTTATTCCTCGCCGTTGATTCTCTTCTGCACGTGACCTAGATACCGCGCGAGGCCCTCGCTGGCGTGCTTGAGGATCGTCAGGCCCAGTCTGAACTTGATCTCGGCCACCTTCTTCACGAAATTTAGGAGGCTGAAGCCCTCCGTGGGCTTCTTCGTGGCCGAGCTGTCGAGCCACTCGACGGTCGTCGTCTCGGGACTCTTCGGGTCCGTGGGATGCGTGGTATCCTTATCGGAGGGATTCTCCGAAGAGACACTGGTACCGCCGTCATCCATTTTCCCGACGATCGTGGCGGTCGCAGGGTGTTCCGTCGTGCCCTCCGTGTTTCCCACGATGGTTTTGTAGGTGGACGCCTTCGCGTACGCGTTAGCTTCCTCCTGCTGCTTCCTCTTCTGCCCCTCGAGATCCTCCACTTCGTTGTTCTCGCTGCTCGTCTTGTGCGGCTCCCCGCCACCCGGCAGCGCCGAGTCGATGATGTCCAGAATCTCGTTGCTCAGATCCTCCTCCTTCTCCGCCTCTTCGCGCTCTTCTTCCAGTTCGCGCTTCGACGGTATTATCTGTATTACCGAGTCTCTCTTCGACCTCCAGCTCCGTCCCCGGCCGCCCTCAGCCTCGTTAACGGCGGCGCGTTTGACCTTGAGGGACCGCGGCCCGTGCTCGACGGCCACCGCGGTCGGCGTTATCTCAATCTCTTCGTAGCCGTCGTCCGGTCGGATAGTCGATGCCCCCAGATGGCTGTAACTGTGCAAGGCGGCTGCGTTGGGGAAATCGAAGCCCTGCGCAACGTCCCTCTCGAACTGCGTCTGCCCGACCTCCGTAGACACGTAGCCAACGCCTTTCTTCCTGTCCACCGGCGAGTTCGCCACTTTCACGTCGTACGAATACTCCTTGGGCACGCTGCCGACCACGAATTGCCGATTCGCCGCCGAGCCCGCGCCGACTTCCGCCGCGAGGTCGGGACGCTTGCGATCGTAGTAAACCGGAGTGGTTTGTACCTCGGGATAGCGGAAGTCCGTGTTCCGGTACTTCACCGCCGGTTGAGTGTTCTCCACCGTTTTATAAACGGGAGAGGTGGACACCGACGGATATCTCGAATCGGCCTTCTTCGTCGTTTGCGTGTCGTACGCGCCATCGTAATGCTGATAGTGATAGTAGTTGCCGTTGTAGCTGTCTTTCCCCCCGGGATACTTGTTCTCGGAATTCGTCATACCCTGGAACACCTTGGACAGCATCTCCTCCTCGCTCTGCCCGTAATTACCGCCGTATTCGTCCATGTTGTACTTGTAGTTCGGCTCCACCTCGTAGTTCCTACGAGTGATCGTACCGCCGAAGGGATACAGGAAATACGAGGCGAGACCGAGACCCAAACCTACCAGCGACATGACGCCGAAGCTAGGCATCACTTCGCGACTGAGGAAGTTGTAGATCTGAGTGCCGATCGCCTTCTGCGGCTGCTTCTTCTTGGTCTTGTTCGCCGCGACCTTCGTCTCAGGCGCGATCTTCGACTCTTGGACCGCGTTATCCATGTAGGTGGGGTCAGTTACGCTCTCGCCGGCCTCCATTACAACAGGCACCATCGCGACTGTCGTCGAGCTTGGCGTCGGTGTCGTAGGCTTGCGCCTGCGTGTCTTGTTCTTCTTCCTCTTCGAATTATGCCTCGGCCGTTTCGTGGTCGACGCTCTTGTACTTACCGGCGACGTCGTCGTCGCTTCCTCCGTTTGCGTCTCGACATTGATCCTGGTTAGCTCGGGATTAAAGTCAAACTTTAGGTCTATTCTGGAATCATTAAGATCGTCCGTGTCCTTCGCCAGAATCTCATCCATATTGGTCTTGTCGACCTTCTCGATCTTCAGGATCGGCGCGTTCACTTTGATCGGCTCTATTTCAATCTGCGTAGTCTCATCCACGGGCTTCTTCAGCTGTACCTTCAGTACGTTGTTCACCTTCGTGCCGATCGGCTTCGATCTCACTGGCACCTCCACGAGGTCCGCACTGAACAAAGTCGATTTGAACGTGGTACTCGCGCTTGGGGTAGACGCGGTAGTAGCTGGAAGTAACGTGGTCGGAGTCTTCTGAGTGTCCATGAGCACCGATGCCTTTATCTTCGTAACGAATATCGGCTTCTCGGTGTTCTCCAGCTTGTCCTGCAGGGTCGTGATGATCGGGACCGGTTTAAAGGTCACCTTCTCGATCTTACCCGTCGACGCGGAAGTCTCGTTCTTCACTGTTTCAGGTTTGATCGTGGTTTTCCGCGTTGGCTTCGGTCTGGCCGGTTTCGTCGTCGTCGGCTTCGTTGTTGTTACCTTCGTTGCCGTCGGCTTGGAAGTCGTTTTCGGCGTGGTGACTTTCGGCTTAGAGGTGGTCCGCGGCGGCTGAGTGGTCTTCTTCGTCGTGAGAACAGTCGTTAACGTAGCCGTCCCGTCGCTCGTCGTCGAGGTGCTCGTTGTCGTGGTGCGGATCACCTTCAAAGTCGTGCTCGCCGAAGTTTCTGTCTTTCCTGAATCTTGAGTAATTCTCTCCGGTCTTAAAGTAGTCGCGGCCTTCTTCGTCGTCGTCGCAGCCGGTTTTTTCGTGATCACGGTCACTTTCTCGGTGGTTATAACAGGAGTCAACTGCGGCGTGGTCTTCTCCACGGTCTTCTCAGGCTGCGGGATCGTCTCCACCTTTTCAATCGTCGAGCTCGGTCTCACCGTGAGTCGCACCTCCGTCTGGAATGGCTGTTGTGTCTTCGTCTTCTCGATCTCCGTGCTCTTCACAGTTGTGGACGGCGGATTCAGCAGAATCCAAGTGGAAATGCCACCGGTGGTCGTCGGGTGATTTTTGTAGGCGGTGATCAGCCTCGTCGTGCTCATCTCCCGCTCGAGCTCCTCTTCCGTCATCGCCATCGCTTGGCCCGGATGGCTGTTCTCGAAATAGCTGAACTTAGAATTGATCGGCCTGCCGAAACTCACGCTTACAGGCTCCAAATTCAGACCGCTATCCGAACTAGCATTCCTTATCAGCGATGGGGTATTCTTCTCCGGTGATTTCGGCGTAGTCGCGACGCTGTGCTCGGCCGTGATGAGTTCCTTGTTATTTACCGTCATCACGTCCTGCGGGTGTGTGACGTTGAGGAGCTGAGTGGCGACGGTTCTCAGAGATTGATCCATGTATTGTAGATCCTTCAGATCACGGTGGGTGTCGTTGACTCCACTGAAATAAAATTTCTCCGTTAGACTTTTCTTGTAGAGTAATGAAATACAGATTCGCTGAGTGTTTCAAATTTAAATCAGCGTCACGACACTACATGACGTAGTATCGCATTTTATATACTCGTAAGAGATTTGAATTTATCTTATCATATTATGATAAATATAATATGATAATATTCCTTTGTTTTATTTCGTTCTAAATCGTGATTTTTATTAATCATTCATAAAATAAGATACGCATTCTCTCTCTCTCTCTCTCTCTCTCTCTCTCTCTCTCTCTCTCTCTCTCATCTGTTACGAAATTTTATAAATAAAAAAATATGACTGAATTAAACGATCAGCAATGCTCATTTCAATGTCAGCTACATGTTATCGAATATTATTCTTACCTTTTCTGTGCAATAATTAAGGCTTGATTCGCACAGTAAAAGACTGACACCATCGTTAAGCACCATGAATATAATTAAATGTAACGTAAGAAAGCAATAGAGTGTAATAGAGCAATATAGAGATTGAAATACATTATTACGTTATAGATGAACAATGTAGATTTTACATAATAAATAAATTGAAAAGATTAGCCTAGAATGAAACTAATCCAATTAAAATTTTTATTTTGTTTTCTGTTGTTAAAGATATCTAAAAGCAGTAAATATTTTAATTAACAACTGAAATTAGGACATTTTCGTGAATTAAAGTTTAAAATGAGAAATAGATAACACATGGACTGTAATCACTGATTTACTCCCAATTTTTTGTTTAAATCAATTTTAATATAACAAACATTTGAACTCGTTTAAATATAATTACGGAAACTGAGAAAAGAGATAATACAAGATTAAATTTGATAAAGAAAAGTTATTTTTGTTTTTCATGCGTTCAAAAAATTAAAATAAGTAAATTAAACGTGTATATAATCACACAAATATTCTTGCATAATTTAAAATTACAATTCAATTATTAATTTAACAATATATAATAAGATTTTAATCCACGATAATACAATTTTAATAATTAGTTTCTTTATGATAACTTTTTTTTCTATGTTAATAATATAATATAGGATTTAGAGGGATCATAGGTGTAACCATAGGAACGTATATTTTTTTTATACATATATAATTTACACGAAGGCGTAAAAAATTATATGACCGTCCAATGAACTATTAATGTTTTGTTTCGAATGTTTTATTATCATTACATATTTGTTGGCACAAATACTGCTAATGCCCTGAAATGCTGTAAAATTTAATTTAATTAAAGTACACAAATACAGGAGGAAACGCAAATCATAGTTCTTTGCAGTTCTTATATCAAGCTGGACATAATGTTAGTGCATCGCGTAATTCTCCGAGCGTTCGAATCGGTACATAATTATAATTAGCAAACTAACTTTTCTCCCATAAATTTCACTAAATAATAAAAATTCTTTGATTTAAACTAGACTCGCTAATTAAATAAAAATTTAAGCGAAACAACTGATCTTGATTCATTTACGAAAAATTTAGATCGCAAAGGGAATATTAAGTACAATCAGAGCATCTGTTTTAATACTAGAAATTTATAAATATACGACATACGATAAAAGAAAAAGGTCAATACTCTCATTATTCTAAACATAACCATAATAACAGTGAATAGTAATACAACGTGAATTAATAATTATTAATAGCAATAAAATATTAGATTAATAAGACTGCACTGATTCGCCTTATCCATACCATTATATATAAATAGCAAGTATTTTCTTACCATGCTACTTTTGGCGTAAGAATTAAGCTAGTAGACATTATACAAAAATATATTGTTTGGCGACCATCTTAATCATTTTACTTAAATTATATTTATAAAGGACGGATGTGATAACTATTAATTATTATATTTATTTAGTTGGTATTTTATTCACCGAGATAAGTAAGCTTCATCCTTAACGAATGAAAGTACCATGCGATTATCCTGCATCATCATTATATGCGCTACATCAGCGCGTACCCACATAATGTTTTTTTTTTATCAAACAATCCTCTAGCTATTTCCTCTCTTTACTTTCCTACTAACCACGCATTATTTTCAATCTGGTATCAAACGATACGAACGATCATTACAGTATATTCTACCTTTGTAAGTCCAATTTAAATAAAAGTATCTCTAGAAGCGGGGGCGTACTTGCTTCATACAAGCTTTATGCCATAGCTCGCCTACTTATCCGAAGATCACCAAGCGTCACAAGATCAATCGAAGTGCGATTCATCTTCTGCGCTTCCTACGTCTACTCTTCCATTCGTTCTGACGATCGTACTTGTGCACGGCTCGTCTGACGAACTCCTCGAGATTCGGTGCGAAACTAATCGCCTTGTCGGCGGAACGTCCGAAGTCGAGGACGCTCGGTATGGCCCACGGGAAGACGACCGCGGCTACGCCGAGCATGCCAGCCGCCATCGCGGCGAACGGTGCCGCTGCGAGGCTGAAGAAGCTATAGCCCAGCGGATTTAAAAAGGAAAAGTACGTGAAGACCGAAGCTATAGACTGCAACACACCGCCTGGCGACAAGTCATCGTCGTCGTCGTCGTCGTCGTTATTTGACAACGAAGCTCCCGAAGAGCCTGAAGTCGGCGACAAAGCCGAACTGACAACGCTCGATAAACCGGGCTTAACGGCGATACTAGGCAGGCTGGGAAGACTTGACAATGCCGGCAATTGCAAGGTACCTGGCACCAGACCGTTGTTAGCCTGACCTTTCACCGGACCAGGCTTGATTAAGTACGCGGGCAATTCCTGAGCGGGCACAGGTGGATTTTCGGAATCGAGGTTCCCGGCGACAGGTGGTCCGCTCTCGGAGGCGCCAGCAGCTGGTGGATCGACCACGGAACCCGACGCGTCATCGCCGGGACCGACAGCGGGACCATCGACGGACGATCCAGCGGGGCTCGCCGTCACTTCCGCGTCCACTAACGGAACGCTCGAGCCGGACACGCTGATCTGAGTACCCTGGAACACCTCGACGGTCGACAATCCTGATTGTGCGGGATCAGTCCATCGGTCTGGGATCTCATTGGGATCTTTTTGGGAATCGTAGTAATCGTGTTGACCCGGCCGCGGCGACTCGAGCGGGGCGGAGTCGTACGTTCCAGTCGACACGGTTACGTAACTGTCCACAGAATCCTCCTGCGAGAGATCGGTGAACGCTTCAGCATATTTCTCGCTCTCGTCTGCATCGCCGTAGCTCTGCGTCGCCAGCGAGGTCTGCTGATCCTCCGCGATCGCCGGAGTCCCACTTGGCGTGAACACATTCGTATTCGAGACGTGCGAGTTGACAATTATGTTCAGATCGGTACACCCTTCCTTGCTTTGAATCGTGTTGTTCACCCGAGTGTAAGTATTTATTAAAATCATCGGACAGTTCGTGTTGTAGGTCGACGAGGGGAAGGTATTGGTCTCCTGCTTGGAAGGACTCTTATCTTCGTCCTCCTGAGAAGTGAACATTATGTGAACGTTGGGTCTGTCCGCCGAGGGCTCCGAGGAGGATCCTGAAGAAGCCGCTTGATCGACGACTGCCGCACCTGCTTCGGGCGCTTTCAACTGCGTCACGGTCACATTCGGCTTCTTCAAGCCGTCGTTCAGAATATGAACCACTGTGTTCTGCGTCACGTGCGTCATAGGGTTGTAAATGGTCTTGTTCCGTAACGACGCCACGTCGGACCAAGAGGAAGAAATAACAGCGGAGGAATTCGAAGAGTCCGTTATGTATTGGGGAGGAACGACTGAACTCGGATTTGACCATCGGGTCGGATAGTTCGCGTGAAAGTCTGTTCGATCGAAATCTTGATTCGGCGATGTAGAATCCTGAAGAGCTACGGCCTCATAATTGTCGTCGTGAGCGTCCAGCGGACGATTGGGTTCCAAGTTTTCGTAGATCGACTCGAAGGCCGGCTCGATCGGTTTGTCATCAAGGTTGTAATCAAGGAACTGCGTACTATTCGGAACGACCTCCGGTATCTTCAACCAGTGAATAATTTTCTTCACGCTGGAGTCGAGGATCGGATCTGTATGATCAAAATAATTATTCGACGACAGGATCGGCATTCCATCGGCACCCGAGAGACCCGACTCATGGCTCGAGTCCTCCAAGGACGAGGTGTACTTCTCGTAATTGTACAGATCCTCCATGTCCTGAAGTGCCTCGCTCGGCCAGTTCTTCAAGTGCGCGCTGTATTGCACAGGCGTGTCGCCGTTTCCTACTCTGTTCCCGTCGCCGACTCCCTGACTCGGCGAATTCTGAGCGGACGAGAAATGACCGCTGCTCTTCGTCGGCGTGGACGTCGCGTGACTGCCCAGACCGACGGGCTTCCTCGCGGCTGTTTGCGTCAAGTGGCCCTTTGCTGGCTGTCTCAGCTCAACGCCGATAGAACCGGCGTCGTTGCCGTTCTTCAGCTTCGTACTCGACGCAACGTTGCTGGCGTTCCGCCGACTCGAAATCGAGTACGGATATCGGAGCTTAACGAAATTTCTATGGGATGTAAGTGCGTTCTTGCGAGGAAACGCAGCTGATCGACTGTGACCAACGACTTTGGATTTCGAATTCGGGATCAAGGTCGTCTCCGTGCCGTGCGACGATCTTCTTGAATTATTCAAGCCGTCGCGCTGGTTGCCGCCAATGCGGCGAGAAGAATCGGCGATGACACGCGGCTTCGAATTTCCATGCGAAATCACAACCGAGTCTACATTTTCACGAATCGAATTACGATTTTTATGAATAGAACGAGCAGCGGCGTCCACCTGAGAATTACTCGGGACACTCGTCTTTGCTGTTTGCAAAAAAGATCTATTTACACCGTGCTCCAACTTCCAACGTGACGTCTCGGCTCCAGTGCCCTTATTCGCGAGTGAATCGGACCTAATCGAACTCGATTGCCGACGATTTTCCACCGCGACAGAAACATCGTCGTTCGTCTTCTCGTAACCAGGTGCATGACTCGCCAAGAAATCACTTCCCGCCGAGTGCCTCGTTTGAGCGACTACCGGCTCGAGACTCGAAGTCACCCTGGATTTCGACCTCCCTAAATTCCCAGGGTTCATCTTTTCGGAATAGTCCGCGCGGACGGCTCGTAAATCGGGGTTAAATCTCGTCCAGCCTATCCTACCGTTCTGAATTGTTTCGGGACCGCCCGGGAAAACGTGGAACGAAGACGCGCCGACCTCGCTCGAGTTTCGGACAGTGGCGATTTTCGCGATTTCACCTAGCACATCCGTCCTTGGAAAATACGGGGGAGCGTTGATCGCTCTAAATTCAGGCACCGTCCAGATGTCGTCGATCTTGGACCGACGAGCGCTAAACGATCGCACCGTCGCGCTCGGAGCGAAATCGCTCGCGCGTGAACCGACTGCGTTATGCTCGCGCGACGAATCGGCACTATCACGGAAACGTGTGATATACGACTTTCTATTACTTCCGGAAGTCCCAGTATACCTGCTATCGTCCCGAACAACGTCGTGTGACTTGCTCGAAACTTGGACGCCCCTCCATCCCGCGTCGCTCCTCTCTATCGTCTTCGCTTGCGAATCCGCACCTAAAAGGTAAAGATAGATAGGAGTTATTTCGAGTTTTACGCAGACATTCTAGCGACACGACACGCGACATCGACAGTGCTTGCTAATAACGTGCGAAACACGTGAAGTCCCGTCGCAACGCGAAGATTTCTCAATGCCTTAAATTCGAGCGACTGCCGAGCTAAGCGATTCCGTCTTAAGAAATTCGGTTTTGTAAGAAAAGCGCGGCGGTGGTAACGTTAGGCGCACGAGAGGCAGCGGCGTAATTGCGGCTCTACGCAGAAGCCAGGTTGTTATCCGACACGCTACAACAATTGGTGCTATTGGGTAATTACGCGATTGATGCCTCATATGCGTTTTCTCCATAATCGGAACATTGAACACAAATTCAATCCTTTTCAAGGGGAAATGAATAACTCATTATTACAAAGAACGAGAGAAATTGAGTATTGTTGTCGCAAACGCATGTCTGCCGAGTAAAAGTGCGCAAAGTCGGCGGACTATCGTATCTACTAATCGCTATCATTCTCTGGCTGCCGCAATTAAGCCTACATTAAAAAGATAACAGATCTGCAATTGAATAGGCACGGTTCATTGGCTATGATTGCGCCGCGAAGAAAGCATCAATTTCGCGTTTAGAAAATCGTTTCCTGCTGCTGCCAGCTTGTCACGTTGCGCGGTTCCATTGCTAAACGATCGTTTCGTTGCACCCGATCACTCCCGATCGCGTCGGTGGCTCGAAATATATATCGCCGTCGTATGATTTTCTGGGACACCCACCATTCTGAGGCCTGGCGTCACCCGATCCTGCTGCCAGCAGGACCACCACGATCTTCAGCAGCTGCATCCGCATTTTCGCACTGGAACAAAAGTCGAGAAAAACTGTTTTAAAATGAGACCTAAGAGGAGTACCATGGGAAAAGTGTGCTCAACTTGTTTACGAATTCTGGGACGACATTACTGAGAATAATGCGCGAGGAATTATAAAAGGACGATCCCGCGAATCGAGATTTGCGAGGCTAAAAGCCGTCCTCGACACGATGACCTACACTGAAACGCTGGACCTGATCATGAGCAACAATCTAGATCTCGGATGGATCTCTCGTTGCACCGTGTCATTGAGAGAACCAGTCAACGGGAAGAGAACCCACCGGTCGCAAAGAAAAAAAAGCGATCTTGCGTGATCGCGAAAGGTACGATTGCGCGGCTCGTACGCGAGGAAAGAACGACGGTCGGAAGCGGTGGAGCAAGCGCGCGGAAGTCGAAGGTTTTAATTTTATTACCGACAAAAGATGCGACGCTTGCGTTAATATTCATGTGGACGGGTGCGCATCGACTGTATTGCAACAATTTGTATACTATGCACTTATGTGGCAACGGTTGTTCTTACGATAATCCGATGCAAATGCCTTGTAAAGTGCGAATAGACCACGTTAGCCAAACGTTATTCTCCAAATTTTATTATACGATGGAACGATATGAAACAAAGCAGAAATGATTCAATTCACTTCTTGTGACTTAAATGAAGATCACTTTTTTGCCAGTCTGGTCGACCTTTTAAAAAATTTGCCCTTTGTTTAATTACCACTGGCGACAAGAAGCTTCACTCAATTTGGTTGATTTAAAATTCTCGTTCTCTCCCTTTCTTAGCGCCTGTGTCCACGACGCTGGAACTTGGGCCAACTTCTAGTTCCGAAACATGTGTAACCAATCGACCTGCAGCTATTCCATAAAAGCTGCTAGTTGATTGGTTACACATTTCTGGAAACTAGAACTTGGACCAAGTCCCAGCGTCGTGGACACAGGCCTCTAGCCAATTTGATTCTTGTTGCGTCACAAATAAAATCGTAAATTTATCTATAAACACAGGGCGGTAACGAATAAGTTCTCGTACTGTAATATTTATACTTACATAAGACGCGTATTAAATGTAGATATTAAACAGCAAGACCGATAAATGATAGATATAGATAGATAATCGTTTATAAATTTTCAATAACTATGAATACGACGTAAGAGATGATTTCCTCACCCGAACGCCGAGAGTTTTGCCACTGCATCGGACAAAACAACAGAAAGACCCAAAAGTGCATACGATCGTCAATGGCTGCCAATGACGCAATTGTCAAGACAGTTGATTCTGGCGAGTTTACGTAGACGTGCGCGACGTGAATTCCTGATCACCGATTTGTCAACTAAGGTCTCGATTGAAAGCATATTCGTATTCGACGCTCATTTCCGATTGTTCCAATCGTCTATGCACGTGGAATGCGAACAATAACATTACTTTACCATTGACGTAAGTTAATGATTTAGCTGCGCAGTGAAATTCGTAGAATTTCGTGCCGTGGCATCTGCAACGCGGATAAAAAATCTCTTCCAGGAACTTTTTCAAATTTGAGTTAGAACAATCTTCCCTGAATGAGAATCGTAATCAAGAAATATAAGTTAAATATTGTATTTATATTAAAATATTTATGCAGCATTTAAATATAAATACAAAATGTGAAAACTGCGCAGATAATATTTTTAATATCGTCTATATTGATCGCGGGCGCGCGACGACGGGGCGGCTGATCATAAACGAACGGAACGTTCTTTCTCCCGCGTTGAAATCCCCACCGAGGATTTTAACGAGGGCTTTCAGCCTCGGCCCGAAGGAAAGCCGACGCACTGTAAACCCTACATTAACATCTCCCGCGGATGGAATTCTCTAACGATCGCAGCTGATTGTCACGCGGATGTTTTTTTTACCGTTGCATTTTTCTTATTTTCATATTCGTGTCCGCTAACGGTACCGAGCGGGCGTCGATCTTCTTCGGGCGCCCATCGTATGTGACGCCGCGTCGTGCATCTTGGGGAACGTGAGCGGCCGAAGTGTTCGAGAAGTCCGACGAGACATTATTCCATCGGTAGAATAGCCGTAGAATCCGACGCGCGAATTCTACGAGCGGGGCACGTACCGTTAACCATTTGAATGTTTCTTCACGAACTAGAAAACCGCTCGCAGGCGATTCTGTCGGGTTGCAAACAATCTTGTGAAGAGATTCATAATTCTGAATGGTTTTATTGAGTAATACGTATATTAATATCAGGCATACTGTAAAATATGTAGGTTAATTTTATTGTTAAATATAAACTCATTAGAATTTTCAGTGTGTCGAATCAGATTTAATTTTCAAATATGAACTTTTCGAGGGGGTTTGTGTGAGAATAGATATTATTTAAAATTAATAATTAAAACAATGTAAAACAAGAGATTATCATTCTTTGCCTCGCTGATAATAACTTTTGTTATCGCGTGAATTGCAAATGCTTTACTTTAATAAGATCGTTACAAGACTCGCAGGAGAATTTCAATTCGTATGTAATTACTATATTTGAACAGAACCGATAGTTTTATCTTTCTAATGAATAGAACCGTTACGAGCAGCAATTATTATTATTCATGCTCCTTTTATTTACGCACTGACTATTTTCGGTGGCGAGCATGGTAGCAATTTTCCGTAACGTTCTAGCGTAAACAGACGCAAATGCATTTGCAGGAAGCTATTTCCCTAATCTTCCCCATACCGAGTTCAATTCACTCGATAACGAACCAAATTTGATATTTAATCAACAATAAATCGACAAATAAAGGAAAAACGATAACACACTATCTTGTAAACTCATTGAGCAAAATATTACTTTCTTAAAATTCGGCGTTTTTATCAATCTTATCATCGATAATGTTCAATTAAAAAAGCAGAAATGGTACGAAATGCATCGGCCTACAAGTCGACGCGACAATCTAATAGAGGGAATCGTCGAAGACCATTCGTAATGATCCCGAGATCGCTGCAAAAACGAGATCCCCGTTTCCGGAACGCTGAACGTCAGCGGAAAAGATCGCGCGCAATAAAGATACGCTATTTAACAAACAGATTTGCGCTCTAACGAGCGCCGAACATTCATCGCCGCTAGAATTAGATCGCGGCGGATAAGAAACGAAACGAGACAAAGCATAAAGAATGGCAGAACGATCGGCTGAGAGCACGTCTCTCGATCATCTGGGTCAGTAAATCGCATTAATTTCAACGCGACCAGATCGCACCTTATTCAGAGAGGTAGATAAGTGGTTGTATTATGGAAATCAGATACGCCTCCACCGTGACCGTTTCGCGCAATAGATGTTTTTCACGCAAAAGTGCCTCTTATTGATTTTTCATTCGATCCACATTGATAGCGATCATCCTTGCTATTTCGTTATCGCGAAAGATGCTATAGCTAACTTCTCATCGACATGAAGCTTCCATTATAGAAAAAACAGTTCCATTCAAGCATGAAAGACTAAATAAATCAGTGGTAAAGAGAGAGAGAGAGAAAAAGAAGAAAACGAACGAAAATTGAAAGTATTTATACGCTAGAGAAATGTAACTATAAGTTTAACCTTTTTTCGGAACATTAATAATTTTGAAAATTTTTCTCAAGATAATAGAGTATTCTGTGATATTTAATACTACGTTCCCTCCAGAAATTGGACTAAGTTTGCAATAACAAGAATCGCACGCGTATATCAGTATTTTATAAATCATGGTAAAATGAAAGAAAATGTTTAAGAACTAATTAAACTTGCAGATGATAAATAGGTAAACAAAATTTTCGTTTTCCGATTATTTTATAAAAAATTTTAACTTGGCGCTAAATATCAGCAAAATTTTTAAGAGATCTTAAACGTTCGAAGTTTTCGAACTCCAAACTTATTAGAGATCTTACCGACCTCAACAATCAAGTCGATCCGGTAGAAATAGGTCACCGGCATATTGATATAATCTGTGCATTCATTTTCAGATCTCTTTTGGAGCGTAGCATATAAATACCAAAAGTGCTCCCATTATCTTTAATCATCTAATGAGACAATATGGCAAGACATCCGTGCAACACGATTCAACAAGTGTAACGTGACGTAATGATGCAAGAAAAAAAAGAGAGAAACAGGAAGAAGAGCAGCGAGCTCTTCACGAGGAAGTGACTGCGAGCTGTGTGGCGCAATGAAATAGATACAAGTGTAATTTATCACCGGTATCACATCTTGAACTTGATTCGTGCGGTGCTTCTGTTCGTTTTTGTATTCCAACATCGTTTTAATATATCTCATTTACATTTCTCTGCAAGATGCTATCATCGCGCATTTCTTAACATTCGTAACCGTTATATAACTATATAAACGCAGAAATTCGCATTTAATTATTTCACAGAGATTCTGTCATCCCGGCGTCATTTTAAAGGAAAATTTTTGTAATATCGTAATATCGCACTAAATAGTATTCGTTCAGGCAGTCGCAGGTTAAAATGCAGTTGATATTTTTTTTTATCAAGGAAGCATATTACAGGCCAATGCACGAGCCGGCAAACGCAGACGAAACCTTATTCAGTTAATAATCAACATTCGGCCGAGAAAAATTAGAAGGCGCTAATCGCAAATCGCCAAAGATATTGTGAATGTTAAATTATATTTTCGCTCATATCAACTGTATAGATATTTTTGTTTAGCGTTTTCTAAAACGGAGGCTAATTATTATTTTATTTGCGCAGTACCTTTTACGATAATTGTATTCGTACCAAGTATTTCTAAACTTAGTGCTTGTAAATACTTTGTACGAATGCAATACTAACATTACTTTTCAATTAGTGCTAAAAGCAAATGTTTGAACAAATTAACTGCGCCACTTGACAAAGCATATGTTTAACGATCGTCAAATAAAATGATCAAGGTCTTACCTATGTCTCAATAAATTTGATGGAGCATCGAATCACTTGAAACGCGATCGCTACACACACCCGACGATTCTCGCGGAGCGCACGATCGCGGAAATACGTGAAACGGCTTTTACCGTGCACCAGAGTAACCCGCCCGAGTCCCGCGCGTTAGCCCTTCGCGACAGCCCACCTGTTCGAAAGAAAAGAAGAGACACCGGAAGAAACCCGGGCGCTTAGAGTGAATTTGGAAAATCGGACCGGGCACCGCGTTACTCGTGAATTCGCGCCGAGAGGAAGGAAGAGAATAGATCGCGACACCGGACGAAGCGAAGAAGAGTGTCGGAAGACGCGTGTCGACTACCCGGACGATCTTTCGACAATGGTGCACGGCTGACTGGCTGCCCGACAAGTCGTGCTCGCGTACCCAGGTTGGAGAAGGTTGGAGAAGGTTCGTAGCGGGCCGAGGAAGAGGGTACGGTGCACGCGCGCGCTCGCCTAGCCGTGAGGAGGCGAACCGAACGAAGGTGGAGCGCGCGCCTGGCCGGCGTGCGCGGGCCTTAGGACCCGTTATACCCGACGGTGCTACGAGATCCGCCCGAGTTGAACAACCTTCGCTCGTCGCCCGTTGTCGTTACTTCCAGATACAACGCGTATGCTAAGCGCGAGCGAGAGGCTTTTTCCGCCGCCGCCGACGACGATCGATGCCCGAAGTGGGTGAACTTGACGTACGGTGCGCACACGTCACCGCGATACGGTATCTCGAATGCCGCGAGCGGTCCCGTATCCGGGGAAGGGCGGCTAAGGGCACGGGTTCAAATTCGATCCGCTCCCTGCGAAGATTGGGAGGATCGGAGTGCGCTTTAAGGACAAGCGGTTCAAGAAGACGCGCGCTCCGCTCTCTAAGAGTCAATCGGCGAATTATCACTGAAAACAGCGAGTAGCCGCTGACTTGCAGTTATAAGTATACTGCTGAAAATTGCAGCGGTACACTTGTAACTGTGAATCGGTGACTATTCGCTGTTTTCAGTGATAATCCGCTGATTGACTTTTAGAGAGTGGAGACACAAATCCAATCGAAACCTGCAAAGAGATTGTAAACATTCGCCTCGTCATTTCGGTCGACTCAACATGACGCGGTAGCATAATAGAAAGTTAATTTCATATATAAATAATAATTACATAATAATTATTATGTATAATAATTATGTAATGCGAATGTAAAAAGAAAACTTTGAAATTCCATTTGCTCAAAGTAGACCGCGAGCAGTGTGATGGCATCGATGCTACGGGGCTCGTAGTTCTGGGGAATCGTCCGGACATTTCGAATCGTGAAATCAACGACTGGAAAACGAGCCGATTTGGATAAATCGGGCATGGCATAATTACGGGCGATAAAAATGGCGACATCGAACTAGATCAGGAAGTCGGCGTTTCGTATTAGATCAGGAAGAAAAGTGAATAGCCGAACTTTCACGAGTGTGGATGCTGATATCGGTATCAGCATCTATGCGCGCCCGTGAAAGTTATAATATTCACTACGTTGTTTACGGTGCAATAAATATCGCAATGCTCCAGATAGAATTGATACGTGACGGCGGGATGCGTTCACATTTTCTAGACTGAAAAATGCCCCTTGACACTTGTCGGCACGACATCGATTAAAACGAGAACGTGCTTTTCAGAGTGGAAGCGAAATTTTCATGTTTATGTAAATATTAAATTACTTTCGAAAGTGTCCCCATCTCTTTTCCGCGTCGTGCTCTTTACATAAAAATATATTGCGAGTAAGAAATCGGAAGAATTTAATTAACGCGAAAAAATGTGGGAAGACAAATTTCCCACCTTTTTCGCTTTTATTAATTTTCGAAAATTATTTAACGAATAATTTACGGGACAATTAAGTGGCAGCCACATAAAACTTGACGCAGGGCTCGGGTTGAACAATGTTGCCGACAAGAATCGGGCCGGATAAAAATTACTGTTAGCAATATCGAGCAACGTTGTTCCAGTCCTTTAACATCCTGCACACATTCTGACAGCATGATGAAGGGTTCACGCTATCGGTGATGAGGCGATGCGTGATGCTAACCGATGGTTAATTCAGGAAGTAGTTTTTCCCGGCCGCGCCGGAATGCGAGCGGGTGCCGACCACGGAGAGGAGCGCATTCCGAGCGACAGACGCCGAAGAACGAAACACGATGTGCCTCGACACGGGGCCCCAAGAATCGGCGAGGGATCGATCTCTCGATCGACAAAGACGCCGTCGGATCTGTTCTAATGGCACTTGGCAGTCCCCGCAGTGCGTGCCAGTGATCCACTTGTCGCGTCGTAACGCATAATCAGACAATCCCTGATGTTCGCGGTAAAATCATTTGCTTCCGTCTCGCCACGCGGACGCGACTCCGAAGTCGGTCCGTCGTAACTTCGCAAAAAAATCACGTAACACTCACGGCACCAGTATAATCACGAACATTTTCGTCGTAATAACGGCAAAAAATGCGAATGCGTTATCTCAGTCAGTAAGGATACGCTGAATTACGAGTTAAGTGGTCCAACCACCATCTGCGCTCTTAAAGTGGAATAGTAAGCAGAGAAAGGACAAGTCATGGCGTTTAGTAGCAAAAGAGCCGCTCGTAAATCTGATTTTTTTTTCACTTACTTCCAACACATCCTCTACGATGATAGTTCCGAAAGTAATTTTAATAAGAAAATGCCCGTTGAACGCTCCGCGACTCCACGCTCGTCATCCTTTTGGGCAGGTAACGCTACTTATTTCAAACAAAGGGGAAAATTAAGTTAGATTAATCTGAAACGCGAGTCAATCTCCGCAGCAGTTACATCAACGATAGATAACGGACCGGCTTCCAAAACCTCTCCAGCTCGCACAATTTCTCAAAATACGACTCGTCACGCGAGAGCAATTTTCATGCGCGGTCCGCTTACTTTCTTCTCATGATAAATAAAGATACTGTAATTTACTGAAGTCCGTCGGAGGTATCGGGATTTTTTTTAAGAACCGAAAAGAGCCAATCGTAAACCGGACCCGGAAGGTACGTAATAACCGAACGCGCGCCGGGGTCGGCTGTCCCAGAATCATCCTCCGCCGCCTCGGCTTTTATGTAGGACATAGCGGCACTTCTTGCGGGCTTAGATACCTTCGCCGGCTGACAGCAAGTGGAGTCGCATCGACGTCATCGCCGGGGTACCATTTCTGAATTAATTTCTACGCGAGCGCGTCTCGGGCCTAGATTAGTGCCTAGCTAAATCCATCTCGCGATGGAAAACGTAATCGAATCACGCTCGACGGCAAATGACGTATACTAATATGAATTGCAAATAGCGAGCAGTTTAATTCATCGCTCGGCTACTCGATAAATAAGATAACAGCCTCCGATTTGCAGCAGGGTCGTTAGACGGCTGACGAGGCGTTGAGGAGCAGTGAGATAATAATATGGTAATTAGAATTTCTAAGCGAATTCTATTCGATTTTCCTTTGGATTTTCTTCTCGTGTTTTATTTTTCGTGACTCCCGTACGCTCTTGTTGAGCCGGTGGCTGCATTATTGCACGATAAACAATTAATCACGATTGAAAGTAGACTTCGAGTGCACGTACGAACATTGATATATTGGCAATTCCCGTATAGCTTCCTAGTTCTCTGAAAAACAAATAGAAATGAATTATTCCTTTCGCTTTCCTTTCTCGTAACGCTTTAGGGGCATCTTATTATCACATTATCAAAATCACCACCTTTGATTATATTTTCCTCGTCGATATAGACTTGGAGGAATTGCTTGTATGCTTTCGAGTAATTTTCACATTCGTCATACGCCAACATTCGTAATGAAGATGTTCGATGGGCTCGCATAAAAACAATGAAGTATAGTGACGTGAGATGAATTAGCGCGATCTCGATAGTTTGTTTTATGCTTGCCACGTCATCGCGCACAAAGCCTTCCGTAACATTTCTCTAATATTACTGTTCTATATTTGAAATCACGATTGCTTTTTAACTGCACTATTAAGGTGGGCGGCTCCTGCATACAATCGACCAAAAGTAGGAAACATTGAAATTTAAGTATGTTGTAGTTGTAAATTTTATCTATCAGTACGCGAAATTTCAGATCCGGTCGCCGGTGAAATAAAATAAAGAGAATAATGTTAAAGTTGTATTTTTTGACAACCCAGTAAACGCCAAGTAACAGTTACACAACATCGACGTTATAATTTCCTACTCAACAAGACAAATGTAATATAACACCCATGTCACGTTACATTTCCATTGTTAAGTAGGAAATTATAATATTGATATTATGTAACTATTACGTGGCGTTCACTGGGATAAGGGGTTACGGGCCGATCGCTCGCAGAAGCACTTTGCGGGTTAATATTGTTTTATAGAAAAAGTAGATCTTAACAAAAAACGAGATAGACATAATAAAGGACACAAGGATTCAAATGCGCTATTAAGTATACGAGGTTACCGACCTCTGCAAGCAAATACTTAGTAGTAAAATCAAAGGATACAATGTTTTGAGGAAATTTGACAGCTCTTTGAGACTTGACAATATAACATATTTTTTAATGTGTTTTTAAATGTGCATATACAACTTAGCATATCAATGCATTTGATCAGTAATGCAGTGAGTGATATCTTTTTTTACGAAAATATGTCATATGAATTTATAAAAATCAAAGGGGCCCCACCGAAGCACCCGTACTAACCGCTCCTTCGTGCAGGAGCCACCTTAACCGTAACGGCTAACTTCACTTGTAAATTACTTTTTCACCACTTCAATGCTCATTCTCGCGCTCTCTGAGCTGACTAGGTGAGTGTCTTCACTTCCTTTTGTTGTTCAAGTTCTGACCGTCATTTCTGTTTCGATCGTGTTACAAACTGTAGTCTAGTTAAAATTTCACCTGGACTTTTCTCGCGGAGAATTACATTGTCCGTAAATCACCCAACGTGCAAGTACTCCTGTTACTCGGAGAACGTGAAATTATTTTTATTGATTAGACTGTATTAATTATTGATTAAACTGTATTAAACTTGATTAAACTAAACATGATGGCTCAGGGCAGCCGAAATGTTCGATTTATAATCATGTACCTTAGTAATTAAAGATTGTTGTAACTCACACACAGTTAAGCATCACTCACGTCACTATAATTGCGTCATGAAAAGGGCCCAAATCCAGGGCCGAAACGTTGTAAATTCGTTTTTCAATAAAAACACTAGCCAGTGTAGGTCGCTAAATCGTATGGAAATTTGTTTTTTAAATTACTGGCGATATATAATTTACCACTTTATAATTGCGTGACTTAAACGAAAAATTCCAAGCTAAAGAAATGATCGCTACGTTTTTCGCGGCGAGAAAAATTTTATTTCTTT